AAAAAAAAAAAAGAAAAAAAACCCTCCTTAAATGCATTCGCTCATCCCGCCCAGTATTGTTAGTGTGGGGAGCCTTTTTGTTATTGTGTGTGTTCCGCTCTTAGATGCATCCGCTCATGTTCCCTCGATGCCTCTCTGTGTGTGTGTGTATATATAAAGATGTGTGTTAAGGGCATGTATGCCGCGTGCAAGAAATTTCCCCTTTGAAGCAGTTGATTGTCTCCAGACGTATTTGACGATTAATGAGGGGAAAAACAAAACGAAAAGAAAAAAAAAAACGAAAACAGTTGATTTTATTTGTCCAAGTTGATTTCCTTACCACCGTCCTTCATGTTGTTGGTGTTGGTGTTGTTGTTTTTCTTTTCTTTTTCTTTTTGGCCACTTTGCGTTCGTTTACGTGGGCACTTCCATACGCACTTCGAAGCAAAAATTTTTAATTTCGTTTTCTTTTTGTTGTTGTTGTTTGGCGTTTACTTGTGGAACCCCCGCTGCGCGTTTCGGTTGCGTCGCGCGTCACGGATGCCCCACGCATCTGCTCATGCGCCGAGGCCCCCACGCACACACGTGTGAGTGTATGCCGATGTATATATATATATATATGTATATATATACGTGTGTGGAGAAGGAATGCCCGCGCCGCGAAGCAAATGGATTCCTAACGCCCTCAGTGTGTCCCCCGACTCTCCCCCACACGGGGACAAAAACAAAACAAAACAATCCCCCCTCCCCTTTTCCCCCATGATGCACCTCGCTCATCGCGCATGTTAGTGCGTGTATATGAATACATCCTGTAAAGCAAGTTAGATTCCGCATGCGTTCCGTGTTTATTTCAATTCTTTTTTTGTTGTTGTTGCGATTCATGTTTGTTTGTTTGTTTGTTTTTATTTACCTCCAAGAGAAGAAGAATTACTGCATTCGATCACATTTGTATGTATGTACGCACACACACATTATATATATATACATGCAGGGAGAGAGAAAGAGTGTGTGAGAGAGAGAGACATGTCTTCAAGCAAATTACGCATGTTTAGGTTTAATGTGGGTAGGCACGTTCTGCCATCCAAACCAGTTATAGTTACTTCCTTGCATTGCTCCAGACGTGCAGACTCTCTGAAGAGCAACGAGCAAAAACAAAACAAAAAAGAAGAGAAAAGAGAAAGAATTGGATTGGCCAGTGGGCCACCCTTGATTCCGTGACTCGTTAACCTCCCTTAGCATCTTTCCGCCTCCTCCGCGCGGGGAATGGGCAGTCTGTCGCTTCTCCTCCTCCTTCATGGCCTCACACCTGCCCAGGCCTTCCCGCTGGCTCCCCAGCGCCTCACCGGTTGCACCGCTGCCGCCTCACACCACAGGCTCCGTGGGGATCTTTGTAGAGTCCGGCTCCACAGAATCGCTTGTCGCGGCGGGTCTCGCGGCGCTGGCACCAGCCGCATCGCCATTCGGTAGTTTTGGCGTCTCGCGCAGAGCCTTCCAGTAGCGGCTCTCCACGTACCACAGTCCGATGCTGTACACGGCAGTCCCAATCACCACGCACACCAGAAGCAGCAGAATTGCAGCAAACGCCCTCACACTGTCGTCGCTCGGCGAGAGAGCCCAGGCCGCGTTGATGAAGCACACCACTCCCAGGAGTACAAAACCTGCTGTGTGCATCACTGTCAGGAACACTGAGCGCATCATGTTCGTAATAGCCATGAGAGCAGCAGCCGCAAGTAGCACCGCCGCCATGGAGAAGTATGGAGCGTGGCACTTATCCGCAGGTGGTTGGACTCCTGCAATGACACCCACCAGGCACAGCACCATCAGCCCAAACACGCAGCCGTACACGTAGCCGCCCCTCACGCTTGTAAAGATAAAACTGTACATCCGCTGCTCCTCTGGGAGACTCCAGTACCCAGCAGGGTACAGCCAGCGCACCCACGGTGACTTCTTCGAGAACGTGCTGTACTCCATGAATTTAGCATTGGTGTGGCGTGAAATGAAGTAGCACACGCCGAACGGGAATGCCACGCCGTACAGCGCACCCAGCACACCCACCACATAGTGCTGCGCCTCGGCATTTGGCATCGACAGCATGAGCATCGATCCCACAAAGACGCCGGGGTGCATCAGGCATGCCACAATGTACGACAGGGCCGGGAACCGCAGCGACACCCACGCACTCACCGCGTCCACGCCGCGCCAACGCTGGAACGCAAACGTCAGGGCGAAGTGTAGGCAACCGAAGACCACGACAATCAGTGCGTTGCCCACCACCATCCAGAGTGGGCCGAGGTCAACGAACGGCGACAGGAAGTACGGCAGCGCCTCCATGCTCGCATGCTCATGCGCCGAGACGCATGACATTTGCTCAAACACGGCGAACATTTGTGCCTCCAGAATCAACGAGACCCCACCAGCAACAGCCACCGCAACGACACTCGTGCCAGCGCCAACGCCACCAACCACCGACAGGGCACGCATAAGCCGGGGTGGCGTGTTCGATTCAACCTTAAACAGCCCCCGCATGCTCCCTGTGCATCCCCCGTAAAGGGCGCGTGGGCCGTACTCAACAAGTATCTCCTCATCGACGCCCACGAAATAGCTTTCGTGAGGAGGCAGCGCCAACTCCAGCACGCTCAGTGACTCCCCCGAGCCTCGTCCCCAGGTCGCATTGCGCAGCATCTCACCCCAGGGGCCGCTGAACCCAGTCGGCTGCGGCCGTGACGTCAGCACAAATTGTAAGTACGGGCGCAGGTCTGTATCACTCGCCCAGCGGAACGGTGGCGGCAGCGCAACCACCAGCCGCGGAGGCTCCGCACCGACATTGCGGATGTCGTCCAGTGTCACGTTGCCGCCCTTCAGTGCCCACACACCCAGCGACGGACATGACACAGTGCGGTTGCACCCCGCTGTGCGCGGCAGGTGCACTGGCAGACACTCACTCCCGTAGCCACCCTTTGTGCAGTGGCAGTTGCACGACGACGGCGACAGCGTTGGATCTGTTGCAGCAGCGAAGCATTTTATGTCGGTGTCGCATGTGTCACACGCCACAGTGCGGGTGTGCCCCACGATACCAGCAGACTGGTATTCATTCGGACCTAGGCGTTTCTCGTTGTGCGTCAGGCACCCCACGATGAACTTCACACTGGGGTCCGGCGTAACAGCGCCGTCCATCATGACAGGCCCGCTGCCGGTGTTCCCGTATAGCGTGAGCTTGCTGTGTGAGAAGTTCGTGCCCGCGGGCTCCTTTGGGAGTGACAAAATCTTTCCGGCAACGTTGTTGCCACGCACAGACAACCACGAATTGGACGTGAATGACGCCTGTTGCTTCAGCCCCAATAACGCACCAGCAGTCACGGCACCTGTGTTATTCCTCACAATAAGGGCAGACGCGTTCGCACTCATTCCCTTCCCGAACACGAAGCCATGCGATGTATACACCTTGCTCTCAGACATGTGCAACACGCTGCCATCCGACAGTGTCGCCTTACCCTCTACGTGCATGGCATATTCGCCGCTGAGTGCAACGGTGTCCAGCGCGATGCCACCACCGATGAGCTCCAGTGCCGCACCATCCGCAACCACCATCCGCACCTTAGATCCAATGGCGAGGAAGAATACGTCATACACAACCAGCACAGACTGCACAAGCCGCAGGTTCGACAGTATCAATGCCGGGGCGTGCTTCGCAGCATGCGAGTCGGGCAGGTACAACAGCGGGGTAGACGACACAGTGATGAGCAGCGAGTTCGTTATGGTCAACACAGACTCCGGGGGAAACGTTCCTGTCAGAGCAATCACACCGTTGAACGACTCCACGCTGCACACTGACAGCTCCACACGCTGCCCGTTCGCAGGTGCTGCACGGCGCGCAGTCGTCCCACCCATCACGTACAGTGCAGAGCCATTGCGCAGCGACACGTTTTGGATCGCAATCTGCACGCTGTCGTTCGCCATCCATGGCACGTAGATTGCCATATGCACACCGTCCATCACCAAGTCGCGCAGCGCAACCTCAGTCGTGCCGCGCGGCACAGCCACTGTAGAGGTTAGAGTCATATTCTCAAGTACGAATGACGAGAGAGGGCCTCGGGGGGCAGGCGGCAGCTCTACGCCCCCAACGGGCACGCACGCCTCGCCATGTCCGCTGTCACTGCACGCGCACTTGCACTCGCCGCCCACCTCAGTCGCCGACGCCGCCCCAGGCGCGTAGCAGTACGTGTCCTTGTCGCACGTGTCGCACCCAACAACTTCAATACTTCCAGCCTTACCGAAACCGGCAGCGGCGTACTCGCCCGCCGTCGTCAGGGCGCTGCCGCCAATACTGTTGCACGCCGCCCTCATGTGCGCCCCCTTCTCCAGCGACACCTTCACCGACAGCATCTTAGGAAACAGCCCCTTGTTGCGCGCGAAGCTCAGCGTGCTTTCCTCCACACTCACAGCATCTACAGCGCTCAGCATCTCTTTGGCAATACTGTCGTGTGTGTTACCCTTCATCAGCAGCATCGAATTACCAGCGAGTTTCACCGTTGAGCCAAACTTAATTGCGTGGTCGTTTGTTGACGCGAAGTCATTCCGCATAAAAGTCAGGGTGGAATGAGTCACACTCACAGCATTCTGCATATACACCGCGTGCTTGCACAGCAGGAAGTCGCTCTCCACAAACCCAAGCACCGAACCACCGGTGACTGTCACGTCACCCTTCACAGACACGCACAGTCCCAGCGCTGCCTGAGCAGAGAGACGGTCCATGTAAAGCGCGGCGCCAGAGGTCAGCGCCACTCCGCCAACCACCAGCACGCCGGCCACGTTGTCGAGCGCCGAGGATACCTGCGTGCGCGCGACGGTAAGCATGCTTCCCGAAAGCTTCATGTTGTATAGAACAAGGCCTGCGGAATCGCCGCCAAGGTTGTAGCTGCTGCGGTACGCAACGGCCGTCTGTGCAATAAGCATAGAGTCCACAATGGTGATGTTCGAGCCAGCCGGGTACCTGTTCGCCAGCACCACGCCGCCGCCAGAGCGCGACACGAGCCCGCTGATCCACACGTTCACGCGCTCACTGACGGGCGTGTCGGCCTTCCATCCCACCACGTACAGACTCGCTCCGCCCACCATTGTGCAGTTCTTCAGCGTCACATTTCGCGCGCTGCCCGTCATCTCGCTCACGTCCACAACAACATCGGCAGCAAACGTCACGCCCACAAAGCACACCGCCGAGTCCCCGGCACCGGCAAGCACGTCCCACGTCATATTCACGTCCCGCACGCAAGGTTCCGCGCGGCCACCGGGCAAATCAACAGGCAGACAGCGGTCACCTTGGCCACCGTTTTTACAGCTGCACGTACAGCCGTTGGCACTCGTCTTTGTGGTGTACGCGGGAAAGCACGACGCATGAGCGTGGCATTTGGCCCCGCATTCCATGACTTCGATCCTGAACGCAGAGGGCACTGACTCGTATTCAGCCACTACTTCCCGGTTCACTACATTACAGGCAACGATGAGTGACGAGTGTGCGTCCACCGAATATATGGGTTTAGGTTTCGCAGGTTTGCCCAAGCCGCCGAAGCCGCCGAAGCTGTCCATTTTGTCCCAGTTGCCCAAGCTGTATAATTTCAAACTTGCCAACTCGCCAGCGCTCATTAAAGGGCCCCCGCCGGATCCGAATGTGGATTTGGGTGCGGCACTGAACGACACGACAACGGGTGGCTTACCCCTCGCGACGGGTGACACACTGTTCCTTGACACCACCAGGCGGGAGTTCGCCATCGTGACATTCCCGGTGGCGCGGCAGACAACGGCCGAATCGTAGGCAGCATTCTTGTGGATCAGCACCCAGGATTCCCGCAGCGTCACCTCACCCTTGATATGGAACACGTTCTGCACTGCAAGTCCGTCGTTGCGCTCCACCAGCACCGCAGACTTTACCGAAACCTCAACAGCACCAAAGTAGACAAAGTCATCAAGAGCACCGGTGACAGCACTCCTCTCGACGGTGAGCACGGAGTGATCATGCACCCGCAGCGCCTTCGAGGCACCGTTGCCCAGCACGTAGAGAGCCGCTATGCCTTTTTTCGCCAGAGTGAATGTGTTGCCCCTCATCGCGAACACCGAGTGCGACAGCACCTCCATGCCATCTTCCCCGATGTCCACCACGATGGCGTGGGGTCCAGATGTCACAAAAGTGTTTTCCTCAACTGTGAGAGCGGAGTGACTCTTCAGCGTTAGCCCACTCGTCGCAATGCACGATGTGTGACCCGTTGCCACGCCTGGCACTGCGATGGATCGCGTCATGTTGAAGCGGTTCCCGCGTACGATGAGGTTCGTCTTCGGTGGAAACACACCGGTAGGGCTCAGCAGCGCGTCCTCAAAGGTGTTGCCGGTGATGGTGATACTCAATGAGTGCTTTGCGGCAGTCGTGCCACCCTTCAACACCAGCGCAGCGCCGTCCTTCCACGTACATCCATCAAACGTGATGTTCACATCTCCAGTCATCGCCCCAACGTCCACCGTGAGCCGCATGAAGGCCCCGCTGAATACAACGTTGCGGTAGCACAGCCGCGAAAGCCCGCTACCCACTGTCTGCGTCACCTCCGGGTAAGCCTTGTTGCTCACGCACTCGTCAAGTTTTGGCGGTGCTGGCATCGGTGGCGGCGGTGGGGGCAGCGCTGGCTGCGCCGGGACGCACGCATCACCGTAGCCACCATCGGCACACTGGCATGCACAACCACTGATCGCTGTCGTCAGGGGGGCGAAGCAGCTGCTCTCCTTCATACATACACCGCATTTCATAATCTTCGTCGTTTGGGGAATGGATGCATTATTCGGAATCGACTTCGCTTGGGAAGCGGCTTTGTTCTTCGCACCCGTCTTCCCTTTGTCTCTGACCACAGTGGAGAGACACCCTGTAATGAACTTGTAGCCCTTCTCGAAAGTACCCAGTAGCGGTTGCGAAAACGCCTGAGCGGTACTCTGCTTTCCTGTTAGCGTCAATGTACTCTTGCCATCGATGTGCACAACCGAGGTCGACACAGGGAATATCATTGGTCCCTCACTCACGTCATTACCACGCCAGTCCACCCAGCTGGAGAGACGCACATTCCAGTCATTGTAGAAGGAGAGACCATATGTGACGTGCCCGCGGTTCCTCGCCATGCGGAAGGTGCTGGAGTTTTCAACCGTCACTTCCTTGGTGTGAATGATGTTGTATCCCGCCGCGGCCACGCTGTCCAGAACTGCCAAAACAGAGTGATCACTGATACGGACCTTGCCGTTCAGGTAAATTGTGTCTGTGTAGCCGGCAAATGTACAATTCTGCACGTATAACGAACTCCCACCGAGTAGCGTCAGGGAATCAGAGGAATGCACGCCGGAGCCAGAGGTGTGCTCCCATCGGTCCGGTAGCCCCCGGCGGGAGGTGACGTAGCTCACCAGCAGCGAAGACGCAGCAGAGAGCACAACATTGCGCAGCACCACGACGGCAAACCTGTTGGATAAACGGTCAGGCATCATAGCTATTTTAGGCTGCATCGCGTCGACTTCCGTCACAATGATGTCGGTGCCGCGCGGAAGGGCATTCGCAAACGACACAACGGATGACCGCATCACGGCCCTTCTCACGCGGATCAACACCCCGGCAGCCTCAGCTGCATCGCGGCTGCCCAAGAAGTGCAGCCCCGCCCCGCCCATGAACGTGCACCCAGTGAAGGTGATGTTAATTTGTTGCTGGAGCGGCATATGCCGTAACACAAACGTCGCAACCGCACCCGTGCCGTTGAATGTCACGCCGACGTAGCAGTGATGTGTGTTCCGCATGTTCAGGGTCAAGTTCGTCACGGTCTGGCCCACCACGCACGTCTTGTCCGTCACATATGGTTTGGGGGAGAGCTTTATCTCGGCTGTGTCGGGCGCCACAGTGGGCAGACACGGCGGGCAGGTCTTACCCTCCCCTCGTTTGCACCAGCACGCGCCGCCGTCACCCATCGACGTCGCCTCGGGCATGTGGCACTTCACACTCGCCTCACAAGCCCTGCACCCGAACGATTTCATCTCCGCCTTCGGGTCTCCGAACGCTTGGCTGAGCGTGACTGCCTTCCCTTCCTTCTTGTTGCATCCAAAGAGCAGTCGCGCTGATGATGTCACCGCTGTGACCGCCGTCAGGTAAGCATCAGGAAAGTCCTTAACCTCGTTGTCGGCAAAGATCACAACAGTTCCTTGCTCGGTAACATTGAGGGCGCCACCGGATTCCTCCTTCGCGGCGTAAACTGAGGCGCCGTACACCTTGTTGCCCATCACGCGCACTTTTGATTTACCGGAAATCATCCAATTCTGCGACCTGAAAAACAGTGCCGTTCCGTTAACGTCTCTATGCCCGCGCAACGTGTTACCCACGATCACCACTTGTCCAGACTTCGCCAGCGTAACCTCGTGGGTGAACAGGATGCCGTGCCCCGCAATCATCTGTGTCTCCGCAACGCTCAGGTGGCCACCGTTCACGATGTCAATCATATGGAAGCGAATCGCCGCACCGTCCGTGGACTGCGGCACCGCCGCCTGCAATTGGCACTTCTGTACAACAATGCTGCTTGCGTTGAGGACGAAGCCCCGCATGAAAGCAACCGCCTCCATTGTTGCCGTGACATTGGCACGACGCAGCAAGATCATCGAGTCCACACCAAATTCCGCGTTAAACTCGATACCCCAGCTGGCATCAGTGTCCACGACACTGTCCACCACGTGTATCTGCGTCTTCGGCCCGAACACTTCGTCCAAAACAAGTTGGCCGCTGGTCATCTCGGATGCAGTCATGCTCATGTGCAGCGAGTACGCGTCAGCTCCAGACACCTTCAGGCCCATCAGCGTACACCGCAGCAGTGTGATGTTGATCGCTTTAACCGGCGAGCGGAACTCACCCAAGTCAATGGTGATTGGGGCGGTGAAGGTCACGTCGACAAAGCACAACCCAGAGACGCCTGGCGCGGGGAAATCCACGCTGTCCAGAGTGCCACCCCGCACACAAGGAATCACAGCTGCGCCCGGCAGAAGCGGCACGGGCGCCCCAACGGCAGTCGGCACAGGAGCTGGCAGACATGCCGCACCGTAGCTACCACTACTGCATCTGCATTTGCACCCGTTGCTTCTTCTGCTGGTGATGATACTGCTGCTGCTGCTGCTACCGCTGTTGCTGCTGCTGCTGCTGGTGGTGGTGGTGGAGGCCTGTTTTAAATACGGATTGAAGCACTCCGCGGAGGGTGCACATCTGTCGCAGTCGAAGTGATTCACCTTCATCGCCATCCTGAGGGCATTGTACGTTGTTACAAGCTCTCCAATCCGGTGGTTGCATGTGCCGTACACAGTGAAGCCGTTCGGTACTTTTAAATCATATCCGCCCAACATGCCCGTTGCCCTGCCAGGACGCGTACCAGGCAGGAAGTTGTTGCGAAGCACCGACCATACGCCATTTTCACTGAGCTGAAGAGTTCGCACATTAACGGCGTATCGCGCTTGGATTTCATTGTCGCGGTGTAGCAACCAGCTTTGGTCTTCCACTGTCAGGGTTTTCATACCCATCACACCGTTACCCACGTAGAACGCGTTTCCTGTCACCTGCAGCACACTTTTCCCCTTCACTTCGATGCTGTCGCACTGCATCGCATCGTCGTACTTGCCGGACCCCCGCATCCGCCACGAGCTACTCTGTATTGAGACCACAGAGCCGCCAGAAACGACCAATCCAGAGGAAGGAAAGTGCATCACACGGCCAAACGTGTTCACTGCGCAGTTGTCCATGTAGAAAGAACTTGACCTGTCGAGGTGGAGACCACGCTCCACGAGGATGGTGGCGCAAGTCTTGCTTCTGCACATCATCGTCGTCCGCGTGAGCACAAGCTGCGCCGAGACAAGACGCACACCGTCCAGGAAGAGCACGGAACTGCACCTGTCAGCCCCATTGGCAACAGTCGTCACGGCGTCCTGCACGTTCTTTTCCATCGCGTGTAGTGCAGAGTCGGCCACAAGTACCTCTGACCGCTCCGGCAGCATGCCCTGCAACACAATTGTGCCGTTCGTCGATGTCATGTTCGTCATGTGCACGAGGGCGCGAGGCAACAGCCGGGCAATAGTCTCGTCGACGCCCTTGATAAGGAGTTTCGCGCCACCCGCGAGCAGGCAGTGTCGCAGCGTCACGTTCAGGGAGTCAACGAAAGCGTTCATCGACCTAAGGTCAACCGTCACAGTGATCGGTCCGCTGAAGACAACCGCCTCGAAGCACACATTAGCCCTCCAGTCACCAACTGTCATGGACTCCGTCACTGCAACACCACGCATGCAGTCCTGCTTCCCACCACTCTTTACAAGGGGCACGTCGAACGGCATGCACGTCTTGCCCACACCGCCGCTGGAGCATTTGCAGGTGCAGTCGGAGAATGACGTCGTCAGTGGGGCAAAGCAGGTCAGCTTCTCCGAACAGCTGTCATCGCATGGCAAAACGGTCACGGTGGAAAGGCCGGTCGAGCGGTAGTCGTAGTTCTTCTTCAGCACCTTGTCGCTGACCCGGTTGCACTGCACGTACACAACGCTATTACTTTGCTCCGGCAAGGAGGCGAGCGTTGTGCCGGCGACAGTGCAGCGGGTGATTGACACAACGGCACGGTCCAACTTCACCCCCGTCAGGGACGCAACCGACGACATAGTGCCCGTCACCCACACGCGCCGCAGGTCCAGCCACGCGCCGGCCCCAATTGTCCCGCCAGTGGCGGCCAACACAGACGACACCTCCTTCACGTCAATGCCCACGAAACGCAGCACGGATTTGGACACATTAAGAGAGCTCCCGAGGGAGATGGCGCAATTTATGCCCTCCATAGACGCGTTTGACAGAGAAAATACGGAGTTGCTCTGCAGGCTGAACATGGACGTTGACTTCACATGCATCAAGCAATTCTTGTCACTGGCCGACGCCCCCATCGAAACACTGTCAAATACGACGGCGCTCGAGAAGAGACTCAGGCCACCGCCATCGCTGTCGCCGCCGATGTACAGCACAGTGCCCGCCTTCTCGGATGATTTTAGCACGGTGTTCTCCACGCGCAGCTGCGACGCCACCAGCGCCATCTCGTAAAAAACAAGCGGCGCAGTCACCACGTTGGTCAGCTCGCGGGGCGGCGTGTAGCTCATGCGGCCCGCCGTCACAATCGTTGAGTCGCGGATCGTCACATTCGCGTGCGGTGGAAGTTTGTACGCGAACAACAGCGAGCAGAAGTTACCGGACAGCCCGCTCACGCTCAATTCAAGGCTCTGGTTGCCCATCGGCTGTCTACCGTACCCGCGCACGTAGATCGCCGATCCGCCGTCGCACACGCANTCACGCTCAATTCAAGGCTCTGGTTGCCCATCGGCTGTCTACCGTACCCGCGCACGTAGATCGCCGATCCGCCGTCGCACACGCAGTCCTTCAGTTCGATGCGCAGCTTGCCGGGGAGCATCGCCGGCACGTCAAACACAACCAACGTGCCGTTCGTGATCGACACTCCCTCCCACGACACGCTGTCCACAGCATGGCCAACGGTGATTGACTCAATAATCGTGCCGCCGCGGAGTCGGAAAGGAATGGCGTGCACCACGGGAAGAAAAACGGACACGGCGACGAGTGATACCGCCAACAGCAGCGCAACGGGCACAAACCAACGTAAGTCTTGCACGCCGCCTTCAGGCGGAGCACGTCTTTTCCTTGCCATGGGTCCAATGCCTCCGCACAAGTCCTCCTGCTGCTGATAGTGCTGTTTGTGCTGCTGCTGCTGCTGCT